TCTCTGAGTTCAAGGCCAGCCTGATATCCAAAGAGAGTTCCAGAACAGCCAGGGCTGTTGCATAAAGAAACCCTTTCTTTAAAAAAAAAAAAAAAACAAAAACCCAACAACAGCAAGAACAAATTGTGTGTGTGTACACACAGAGGGTGTCCAAGGACAACTGGGAAGCATTCTTTCCTTCCTTCCCTGTGGTTCCTGTATCAAACAAGTCATCCAGCTCGGTAACCTTTAGCTGCAGAGCCATCTCCCTGGCCCTTTATTGTAATTATTTGTGCTGCTGGGGATTTGAACATGGGCACAAACACACAACTGATTGGTCCTTAGCACTGTTTTATTTCTATTGAGATAGGTTGTCACTGTGTTGCACAGGGTGGCTACCTGAACTCAGGTAGGTGATCCTGCCTTGGTTATTTTAGCTCTGACTGTAGATTTGTACCACTGTTCTGGGTTTTGTTTGTATTTTAAAAAATGTAGCAGCCTTGCTTTTGGGCCACCAACCAGCTCCCAATCATGACCAGGAGACTTTATTAGGTATGAATACTTGGCCTTCGCTTAGGCTCGTCCCACTGGCTTTTACAACTTACTTTAACCTGTTTCTCTTCATCTACATTTGCCTCAGGGCCTTTTACCTTTCTGTATGTCCTACATTCATAGTTTCCTCTGTCTGGCTGCCTGGTAGCTGGCCCCACGTGTCTCCCTCTCCCTTGTTCTCTTTCCACTCAAGCCTGCACTACTCCTCCTAGTTATTCTCTCTCCCAACCAGCCCCACCTGTCCTTCCTCTGCCTAGCTATTGGCCATCTAGCTCTTTATTAGCCCAATCATGTGCCTTAGGCAGGCAAGGTAAAACAGCAACACATCTTTGCATAATTAACAAATGCAGCATAAACAAATGTAGCACACCTTTACATAGTTAATAATATTCCATAACCAAAAAAACACATCCTTAGCTGGGTATTGTGATCATGCCTTTGATCCCAGCATTTACCTGTCAAGGCCTTGCCTGACCTCTCTCTGCGCTGGGGTGTAGAGACAGATCCCTGGAGCTCAGTGGTTAGCCAGCCTAACCACGTGGTGAGCTTCAGGCTCATCAAGACACTATTTAAAAAAATATCGGGGTTGGGGATTTAGCTCAGCGGTAGAGCGCTTGCCTAGCAAGCACAAGGCCCTGGGTTTGGTCCTCAGCTCAGGGGCGGGGGAAGGAGAAGAAGCTAGGTAGCCCATGCTTTAATGCTAACACTGTGGAGGCAGAGGCAGGTGTATATCTCTGAGTTCAGGTCAGCCAGGGATGCATAGTGAGACTCCCTTAAAAGAAAAGAAAAAAAAAATAACCAAAAACCAAGAACCAAGAACCTATAAATAAATGTTATATTCTTGGACTGGAGAGATGGTTCAGAACTGAGCTCTTGCTGGTGCTGCTAGGCAGGGGGCCCAGGTTCAGTTCCCAGCACCCACATGACACTTCACAACTGCATGATCTGATTCCTTCTGACTTGAGGACACCAGGTGCACAGATATACATTTAGTTCCCCTACATACATAGAAAACAAAAACAGGAAAACATAATAGCATTTGAGAAAAAAATGACTTTCTTATCGTGCGTGTTAGACAGCTGTATACTACTGAATAACCAGGACCCTGTCACACCCCTGGTTAAAGGGTTAAGATTAGCCAAACTTAGCACCACTGAAAACAATATGTGGCAGATGAATTATTCACATTAGTTTGCCTGTTTAATCTGTATTTAAAATTAGAAGGGTTGTATTGCTGTCCCCCAAACTCAGTTTGTCTTTTGAGTTCTTACCACCAAATTGTATATACTAGAGGTACTAATTATGAAGGTAGACAATTGAATGTTGTAAATTATGTCTTCTATATTTCAGGTTTCTGTTTCCTGTGGGATACCTGACTTCAGATCACGAGATGGTATTTATGCTCGCCTTGCAGTGGACTTCCCAGATCTCCCAGATCCTCAAGCCATGTTTGATATTGAGTATTTTAGAAAAGATCCAAGACCATTCTTCAAGTTTGCAAAGGTATCACAGGTTTTTGTTTGTTTTTCATGAAAAAGTGTTGATGTCATGTATAGGTGGGTGTCTTAAGTTGGCATTCCTCACCCAGTGAATTGGATGCTATGTGTGGTAGGCAGAACTTCTGTTTTAGGACTGATGAAAATAATGTACTTTTGGTTTTTTGACTGTTTGTCTTCTCTCCTGTGGAGGTTTGTAGAAGATATAAAAAAAATGACTTGTGTGACTTTTAATCTATTTTTTTCTGAGTCATAAGTGTATAAGCGTATCTTTTGTAGTGGACAAGTTTTTTTGTTTTGTTTTTTTCGAGACAGGGTTTCTCTGTGTAGCTTTGCGCCTTTCCTGGAACTCGCTTTGGAGACCAGGCTGGCCTCGAACTCACAAATATCCGCCTGGCTCTGCCTCCCAAGTGCTTTAAAGGCGTGCGCCGCCACCACCGGGCGTAGTGGACAAGTTTTAACATGTGCATCTATCTGAAAAATTGATTTTAATTACCAAAGATTGAAGTTACTTTTTATTTTTATTTTATGTGCATTGGTGTTTTGCCATGGGTGTCCTGTCCCCTGGAACTGGAGTTAGACAGTTATGAGCTGCCATATGGGAGCTGGGTATTGAACCCGGGTCCTGGAAGACCAATCAGTGTTCTTAAGCATTCAGCCATCTCTCCAGCTCAAGGTTACATTTTGTTGTGAACAGATGACAGGACCCTTGTAGCATCTTCTAGTCTCTGTAGTTGATAGGTCAGTCAGCAGCTGCATGTGGCTATTGACTATTTGAAGTGTACTGATATAAGTGAGGGGCATACTCACTGGATTTTAAAGATTTTGCTAAAGAAAAATGATCCTCTACTAACTGCATTTAGAAATATTTGTTTGGTAATATGTTTAGGAGCCAGGCATAGTGGTGTATTCCTGCAGTCCCAGGATGCAAGAGGCAGACAGAAGACTCGTGACTTCATGATCAGCCAGGGCTACATTGTGAGGCTCAGCTTCAAAAACAAAGCAGTAACAAAATTGTTTATTAGGCATTGGAAATTTTCATTTTCATGTGAACTAGAAAGTTGAAAATTGTACACCTGGCTCCATGTATGCTGTGCAGCTCTGCTGTAGAGTATAAAGTTCATATATTGTTCCAAAATTTTAGTCACTAGAAAATTTTTGATTTTTCTTCAATTTAAAATTTTTATTTATAGCCGGGCGTTGGTGGCGCACGCCTTTAATCCCAGCACTCGGGAGGCAGAGGCAGGCGGATCTCTGTGAGTTCGAGGCCAGCCTGGGCTACCAAGTGAGCTCCAGGAAAGGCGCAAAGCTACACAGAGAAACCCTGTCTCGAAAAACCAAAAAAAAAAAAAAAAAAAAAAAAATTTTATTTATATGTATGTATTTTTTGAGACAGTCTGATGTAGGCCAGGCTGGTCTTGAACTTTGCACAGCCATGGATAGCTTTTGAGCCTCCTGATCCTCTGGTCTCCACCTATCACCATTCCTCCTCCTGTTAGTTCATTGTTACGGAACTTGTAAATGAATTTGAAAGGCTCTTCTGTATTAAAGAGACATTTTAGAGAATGGAGAAATTAAACAGGATCTTAGATGGAGCGGTGAGTGGTGGTGCACATGCCAGAGTGCTCCTGTGGAGGTGACAAGACAAGGTAGTTTAGGGACCTCACAGACAACACACATGGGAGATTTACAGAACTGTGAGATGACAAAGATTTCTTGATAGATGCAGGACACTGATGCTTTATGACTTCAGTAAGTAGATACAGGCTTAGAAAGGTCAGCAGGTAACTACAAGTTACTTTCATGTCTTATACAAGCATGGCTGGTTAGTGTATCTATGTTAATATCCCCAAGATTTTTCTTTACTGTAAATTCTGTGTTGTGAGTGGAGAAACCGCATTGCCAGAAATAGTAATTTTTCCACTATCTTACCAGGGTTGTCGAGTGCAGATACGTATCTAAAATTAAGAGTTCCATAATTTTTAAAATTACATTTACTTATTTTGTGTGTCTGTGTACGGGCAAACATTATTTTGCTCTTCTTCAGGGGTTTATAAAGGCTGGAATTCCAGTAACCCTGGCACAAAATGCTCTCGAATGTGTAACAAGCCAGCTGTGTATGTCCCTGATCCCAGGGTTCAGGTAGTGGAGGCAGGAGGATCTCAAGAGTTAAAAGGCCAGTCTCTGCTAAACACTTGAGTTCCAGGCCAGCCTGGGTTACAGTGGTGGAGCTTAACTGAACATAAGGCCCTGGATTTAGGCCCCAGCAATGGACACACATTCTAAAATGTGGTTTTAATTGGGTTTATGGGGCAGGTGGAGAGCCTAAAAATTTAGCCTTCATAAAAAGACAGAAATGGGGGAATCAAAGAGCCCTCAGCTTATGGATGATATTCTGTGCATAGACTTTAACAGCTCTGCCAGAAAACTCCTTTCATACCATTCCACAAACATGGCTGGGAAGGAAATCTGGGTGAAAAAGTCACCTCTGACAACAAAGACTGGAGAGATGAGCCAGTGCTAATGAGTGCATACTACTTGCAAAGGTCAGAGGTCAGTTTCCAGCATCTATGTCTCTACAACTGCCAGCTGTCACCAGTCCCAGTCCAAGCCTGTACTGCTGGCCCTCCGGCCTCCACCTTCATGGCACTTGCACTCACCCCCACACCCCCACCCCAGACATAATATAATGAAAAGTTTTTACGTAGGGGCTGGAGAGAAGGCTCAGCAGTTAAGAGCACTTGTTCTTGCACAGAGGACCATGTGGTGGCTCACAACCATCCATAACTCCAACTCTCCAAGGGAGTCCAGTGTCCTTTTCTGACATCCTTGGGGACCAGGCAAGCATGTGGTACATGTTCAGGCAAAACACTCATACATACAAAATTTCTTTTTAATATTAAAAAAGATTAGGTATGGTAGTCCAGGTCTTTATCTCAGTACTCTTGAGTGAAATGCAAGTGGATCTCTGGGTTCCAGATCAGCTAGAGTTACATAATGAGACCCTTTCTTTAATTGAGCCTTATACATGTGAAATATGTATAGCACGTGAAGAATGTATAATGCTCTACACCATTACAAGGTGAAATACAAGTGTATGGGTTTTGCCTGTACATGCTCAAGTTCAGTAGGGATTAATTTTTAGCTTCACTAACTGGAATACTTTGATTTGAATAGACAGATTGGCATACTATCAGAAAAAAAGCTTGTTCTGTTTTCTGATGTGATATAATATATAATTCCAAGTATGGCTGACTGAGCTATGAATTTATTTAAATAGACATATAAGTGCATATGTTTATATGATACACATTATGCTGCTGTATATACATTATGGAATGGCTGTAGCAAATTAGTAACATCCATTACTTCACATACTCATTTCTACACATATTCAGACATTTCAGGTACACAGTGTTATTAATTGTAATCTATGCTGTATAATAGATCATCTAAACATCATTCTCTGTCAGATTCTGTCTGCTTACCAGCTTCTTCCCATCTTAACCATCCCATTAACTTGAGAGTTAGTTGTTAATGACTGGGAGTTGTCAGGCTGTTTTCATAACACATGAATACTATAAAATTCTACTGTACTGTCCCTAAGTCAGTTCAGGAACAGCCAAGTCCACTTAAATAGATCATCTCTGACTACTTTTGCTATATGAAACCATATGGCAAAATGTATGGTCCATAAAGACTAATATTCACTTATTATGACCTTGTATACAAAATGAAATGTGTTTTGTTAAGGTTAAATATCCTCCAAGAGGTAACTGGCAAAAAGTTTTGATCAGTAGAGTAAAAATTAACTCTACTGGAGTTTTGTGAATGAAATGAGTGTGAGGAGGGTTCTTCCTGGAATTTTTGTTCCTGTTCCTGTTTTCCCTTTGTGGGCATGTGTGTGATGTTTATGTAGTGTCCAGGGTATGAGTATGCATGTCACAGGTGGTGGCCAGAAGTTGACTTTGGGTGTCTTTCTCCATTACTCTCTCCACATTATGTATGAAAGCAGGTTCTCCTGTAGACTCTTCATTGGGGTCCCTGTTTCTGCTTCCTGCATGCAGGAATTACAGCGCTGGTCCTCAAGTTTGCAGTGCAAATGCTTACCCACTGACCCACCTCTCGAGCCCTTCACTTTTTTGTGTGGTGCTAGGGAGTGAGCACTTTGCCTCCCACATGCTGGGCAAGAGCTGCCCCTGCATTTGTTGCCAGCCTTCATTCTTCATAGAGTGGAGGATTGATTTAGGTTGTTTGTTACCAAACTACAAACTCTAAAATTGGATGAAGCTTTTAGTTTTTTAGGGGCTGCAATAATACCCTGCCTTTTAGATCTTTGTTTATACTGCTAAACTTAGAGGCAGAAAGCAGCTAGCATCACTGGAGGGGAAGCCATTTATGTGGGAGCTCTCCTGAGGGTTAGCTTGTTATTTTTCTGAGACAGGGTTTCTTTCTCTCTGTAGCCCTGGCTGCCCTAGAAGATTTGTTGACCAGGCTGGCTTCAATTTAGAGATCTTCTTGTCTCTGCCTCCTGAGTGTTGGGATTAAAGGTGTGCACCATCAGTCCCCTGCAGAGTGTTAGCTTTTAAAAATATTTCTTTTAAACTTAATCTCAGTAGCATGGCCCAACACTCATGATTGGTTTTTTTTCCCTTGAAACTGGGTTCCTTTGTGTAATAGCTTTGGCTGTCCTGGAACTTGCTTCGTAGACCAGTAGACCAGGTTGGTGCCTGCCTCTGTCTCCCAAATGCTGGGATTAAAGGTATGTGCCAGCATGCCTGGCTTGAATGGTTTCTTTCCTTTTTTTTTTTTTTCTTTTTTCTTTTTGGTTTTTCAAGACAAGGTTTCTCTGTAACAGCCCTGAGACCAGGATGGCCTTGGATTTATAGAGTTCCCACAGCCTCTGCCTCCTGAGTACTGGGATTAAAGGCTTGTATCCTACAACCTGCCACTGGTTTCTCAAAAGGCTTCAGGATGTTCAGACCTGAGGCAACCTGTCTTTTTAAGATTTAGAAGTTCTGATTTAAAGTTCGTTAGAATTCTATAATTTCTAGCTGTCCCTTAGTTTGAAAACTTACAGGATGTACCATTCAGTTCAGCTGATAAGTGTTTGCAGTATACATTGGAATGGAAAGCAAAAATCTTGGATTTTTGTGTAATGGACCACCACATTCATGACTTCCTATAGAACTAGTTCATTGCTCGGTGTGGTGGCACTGCCTTTAATTCCAGCACTGAGGAGGCAGAGGCAGGCGGATCTTTTGAGTTGAAGGCCAGCCTGGGCTACAGAGTGAGTTCCAGGAGAGCCAGGGCTATGTAGACACAGACCCTGTCTCCTCCCCAAATCCCCCCCAAAAAAGCTTATTAGGTTTTATGTAGCAGTTACTGAGTGGAAATTCTAAACTTGTGAGTTACTAAATAGGTTAAAAGTCAAGTCCTCTAATCCTACAGAAGCCTCAGCCCTGTTTACAGTTGCTGTGTGTTCTTGCCATGTGTTCATGCAAACAGAACCATCCATATGTGCACACAATTTCAGTTTTTTGCTTAAAACCAAAAAGATTACTCCCTGGTGACTAATTTTTTTTTTTTTTTTTTTAATGTATGTCATGGACTATTTTTCAGGTCAGTGCATGAGAGCCCTCTCATTGTCTCAGTGGCTGAACATAGCACTGTATGGATGTACATTATTATACAACCAGTCTCCCTATTGATGAATATATGGTTGTATTTCTTTTTTGCTATCATTGTGATGGGTTAGGGCCTATAATGTAAGGAAGTAGAAAGTACAGCTACTTTAAAGAAAAAAGGAGAAACTTCCTTTGCCATAGTCACTAAATGAAATTGAATAAAAACACTGTCAAAAGTTGGGAGGACCAAAATTGATACTTTTTCTCTGATCTTTTTGCCATGTGTATATCTGAATTCTTTGTTTTTAAAGAAGAAACAGCATTGAAGCATTATTTGGGGGGAAAAACACACACACAAAATCCAGCAACTCAGCATTCATGAGCAGCTCTGTTCTATCCCAGTATGCCTGTGCAGTGGAAGGAAAGCAATTGTGGTAAGGAATTAATACAACTTCAGCTTTAAACTCCAGCAGGTTGATATTTATGAATGATGAATCAAAAAGAAAGTTTTCAATAATACACTGACAGCCTTTTTTTAGTTGTGAAGTCACCGTACCTTTGATAGCTGTTATCAGTGTAAAGCTCCCCTCTTTTTCCTTAAAGAAAAAAAAAAATCTGAATTTACAGACAACAAAATTTTGATGTACCTAAGGTATGTATTTCTTCTGACTTACATTAAACATCCATTAAGATGTGTTTCTGGGTCACCTTATCTTGTTCAAGGGGCCAAGTTCACAAATTGCTGAGTTTTCATATAGTAACAAGCCTTTTTCTAGGTGTGCCATCCATCTGTATGCTTAAAAATGCTCATGGATTTTGTTTATTAAAGTATATACATGGGGGTTACCATTAGGACATTTTTTGACTAAATGTAAGCAGCATTTCTGTTATGCTTATTTCATTAGTCAATGTCAATCTTTCTGCCTTTTGCATTATATAGGAAATATATCCCGGACAGTTCCAGCCATCTCTGTGTCACAAATTCATAGCTTTGTCAGATAAGGAAGGAAAACTACTTCGAAACTATACTCAAAATATAGATACCTTGGAGCAGGTTGCAGGAATCCAAAGGATCATCCAGTGTCATGGTT